GCCTACAGTGTGGAGGGGCCTACAGTGTGGAGGGGCCTACAGTGTGGAGGGGCCTACAGTGTTGAGGGGCCTACAGTGTGGAGGGGCCTACAGTGTGGAGGGGCATACAGTGTCGAGGGGCCTACAGCGTGGAGAGGCCTAAAGTATGGAGGGGCTGACATTGTTGAGGGACCTACAACGTTGAAGGGCCTAGGGGCCTACATTGTGGAGAGGCCTACAGCATAGAGTGGCCTAAATTATGGAGGGACCTACATTGTGGAGGGGCCTACATTGTGGAGGGGTCTACACCATGGAGGGGCCTACATTGTTGAGGGACCTACAGCATTGAGGGGCCTACATTGTGGAGGGGCGTACAGCGTTGAGGGGCCTACTGTGTGGAGGGGCCTACAGTGTTGACGGTCCTACAGTGGTGAGGGGCTTACAGTGGTCAGTGGCCTACGATGTGGAGTGGCCTACATTATGGAGGGGTCTACTCTGTGGAGGGGCCTACAGTGTGAATGGGCCTAAAGGATGGAGGGCCCTACAGTGTGGAGAGACCCACAGCCTGGAGGGGCCTACAATGTGTAGGGGCCTACATTGTGGAGAGGCCTACAGCATTGAGGGGCACACACTCAGGTTTCCTTGTCTGCTCCTATAATACATGGTGGCTGCAGCTGCTTTGTCCTTCAGGGAGAGTTTTTGGTCAAGTTTCCACCCTCAGCGAAGCAGAACACGCCACTGATGTTTGGATTCATTCTTCAGGTCCAGTTAAGACGTGTGTTGGTTCTCAGGAGGCCTGTTTTCATTCATTCAACCTTTATTTCTACAGGTTAGTCCCATTGAGCCTCGAGGACTCATCTACAGAGAGACCTGATTTAACAAAGAGTGATGACAACAATGAATGGACAGTTATAAAAAGACATAGTTTATTTTTAAATTTTTTAGACTGTTCCTGGTTCTCAGGAGGTCTGTAGTCCACATCCCATAATAAATCCTGAATGTCTGTGTCTCTGCAGTACTGGTATGAAGGAGAAGAGGCCGGAGACCTCCCCGTGGACTTCCACATTGTTTGGGACGGAGATTTTCTCATTGACATGCCGGCCTTCATGAAAGGTACGACCTGATCTGGGCTTCGATTGTTCTCGTTTTAAACCGATGAGGACAACAAGTTTACATCTGTCCAAATCAGAATAATTACCCACGACTCCCTGTGGTCTGAAATATGTTTTTAGTTCGTATTGTGGAAAACGTCTGTTGCAGAGTTTGATTATGAATAATAAAGGATGTATTTGAGTCAGGTCTACAAACTTTACCTTGAAAGTCTTTTGACCTTTTTTCAAAGTAAATCGAGCTTAAACTTCAGTCTAAGCAGAATGAACCAGTTTATTTTAGGACTTTGCCACCTTCATAAGGTTTTTATTATTATTTTCTTTTTTTTTAATCAACGACTGGTTTGGTTTTATTTTTATTAGCTAAATTTTCATAAAGTGTACAAAAAGTGATCAAACAATTTATTTTAAACAACAACAAAAAATCCACTGAGGAGAAAAATAACCTGAACTGTTTTAACAGTTTCTGTCTGTCTGTCTGTCTGTATGTCTGTCTGTCTCGCTCTTTCTCTGTCTGTCTCTCTCTCTTTCTCTGTCTGTCTCTCTTTCTGTCTGCCTGTCTCTCTCTCTGTCTGTCTGCCTGTCTCTCTCTCTCTGTCTTTCTGTCTGTCTCTCTCTCTCTGTCTGTCTGTCTGCCTGTCTCTCTCTGTCTGTCTGTCTGCCTGTCTCTCTCTCTCTCTGTCTTTCTGTCTGTCTGTCTGTCTCTGTCTGTCTGCCTGTCTCTGTCTGTCTCTCTGTCTCTCTCTATTTATCTATCTGTCTGCCTGTCTCTCTCTGTCTGTCTGTCTCTCTCTCTCTTTGTCTGTCTCTGTCTGTCTGTCTCTCTGTCTGTCTGTCTCTCTCTCTGT